CGGCTAAAAAAGGGCGAACATGTTTGGTGAGACGGGGATTCGAACCCGCGACTCTCAGATTGCGAGTCGAGCGCCCTAACCACATGTCCATGCTCTGAACGATACGACAACCAAAAGTAAAAACAAAACAAAAAAAACGTTAGTACTTCGGGATCTCATGTTAAAAATTTTTACCGCATTGTAGGGAATTTGTTAGGGTTAAGTTCCTAATTCGGGGTTACAAATAAATAAATAAAATAAAGGACCAGTGCATCGCCATCTATTTACATTTAGAGGAATTAACACTTAAACTTTTTCTTTTTAACAATTAGCACAATAACATTAAACATATTTTTATTTATTTATTACGTACTTTAGACACTAAAAGCGACAGCTTAGTTTGATTTCAATTGCGCGCAAAGCTATACGAGGGCTATCTGAGCTAGCCGTCCTTAATGTAGCAATGAAAGACTAGAGGGAAGGCAGCTAGTCATCACCACCCACCGCCAACTTTTGGGCTACTCTTTTATTAACGAATAGTGGTATTGACCGTCACATTATAACGCCTCCTGGGCTGAAAGGACGAGCATGTTCGGTGAGTGGGATTCAAACTTGCGATCCTCAGATTGCGAGGACCGAGAGTGACCTAAATGTTTGCACGCTGGACTGTAAATTTTGAGGGTCCATGGTTCGAGTCTCGTTACCACAGACTTTCGTTTTGCATTTTTGGGCCGAGGTTGTGTAATAAAAGTAACAATAAAATCTCTATTCGATTACAGTAGCTCGAGAGTTGGCGGTAGGTGCTGTTGACTAGCTGTCTTACCTCTAGTCTATCGCTTCGAAATTAGGGATGGCTAGTGAACATAAACCCCATGTATTTCAAGACAAATTAACATAATTTGGAACTCATGTTTTAGAAAATAATCATAACTGTCATTCCTGTACTGTATCTGTAGTTGTGAAATCATAGCCTAATGAAAATGTTTTAATTAATTGTACTAATGGGCTGGACCAATGTTAGTAAAAATGATGAATTAACAATACGCCCTTGTTGATAATCAAGGGGTGAAAATAGGATTATAGGGAAAAACGACAACACTATTATTATATGAATGACAGAAAAAGATCATATTACTATTAATAATAATTTTTACAAACTTGTTCTTCAAATTACAATTCTAAGCTACTGACCAGAGAGAGGACAGTCAGTCAGGAGCACCTTCCATCACAAGGGCTTTCCCTGGCTATCTTTGACCAGAGAGAGAGAGGACAGTCAGTCAGGAGCACCCTCCATCACAAGGGCTTTCCCTGGCTGTCTTTGACCAGAGAGAGAGAGGACAGTCAGTCAGGAGCACCCTCCATCACAAGGGCTTTCCCTGGCTGTCTTTTACCTGAGAGAGAGGACAGTCAGTCAGGAGCACCCTCCATCACAATGGCTTTCCCTGGCTGTCTTAATAACGGAACTAGCTGTCATTCTTTTAACGCATATCCAACTAAAAGCACTTAGTGGCACCTAGGATCGAACCTCCAATCCGCACGTCGCCATGATAAACATTAGGCCATGCCCAGTCGCTCAAAACCACTGCAATTTTAAAGGAAAGAAAAACACCTGCTAACATATATTATAGATGTCTGTTTAAATATTAAGATGAAACTCAAAACATGTGTTCATAGAAAATTAGAAAAACCCGAAGAAAGCTGTTAATATTTTTTTTATAGAAAACTATAAAAAATAGAGTTTGTTGTGCCAAACACGGGTAGCGAATCTCGATCTGTAGTGTTATAAGTCTTCACATTCATCATTGAACCACCTGGCTGAGGTGGGAAGGTTATAAAAAAAAAAAAAGATACAGAGGCGCATGGTATTTGATATTCCATTAAGCTACAAGGCTTGGGTGGAGGGTGTAGAAAAAGAGAAAGGAGGAGTGTAGTATTTGATATTTTCAACCTGAAAGGTACCTTATACACCACATGAATTGAACGTACAGGATTCTTTAGGGTTAGGATATAGCCGTCCGTAATTTTGAACTACTGATCAGAAAGATAGCACCCAAACTGCCTTATCCACTACCCCCCCCCAAAAAAAACGGTATTGACTATTATTCTTATAACGTACTCTTGAAAGAAGGTGCGGAGCTTGTTCTATGGTATTGTGGTGCAAAACATGGAATTTTTGGTAAGCAGACTGACTGACTAACGATCAGCACTTTGCAGTTGGTTTTATAATCAGTGTTATTTTTCATGTTGGCTAGTCTATCTACACGTTAGTTTCACTGTAGTGAGATAGTTCAGTTTGACTGAAAGACGTTTTACTTTTGCACAAGGATGCAGGTTAAAAGTCCAAACAATTCCCTATATGTTTGTTCACACTAGATAAACCTTCCATTTGTTTAGAAGCGATGAACGACCAAATTCATATCTATTTGAACATTTAAAATAGCGTGTTTTAGTATGAAGATGAAACTTCATACTAAAACACGTTCTTTTATGTCATGAAAGAATTAAAAGAACGTGTCTTTAACTCGTCTGCACATGTCTTTAACTCGTCTGTACATGTCTTTAACTCGTCTGTTCATGTCTTTAACTCGTCTGCACGCGTCTTTAACTTGTCTGCACATGTCTCTAACTGGTCTGCACGTGTATTTTATTCGTCTCCACGTGGCATATTCGATTTCCAGCGTTAATCAGTTTCTAGGAACGTGGACGGTAACGTTCCGCAAGAATAACTTGAGACTTCGACCTCACCTTGTTGTAAGTGAGACTAACAAGGGTAATGAAACAGATATTCCAGTGTCGGAGACTTCTCTTTCAACGTAACACATCAAGACCAATCGCTAACGTTTAGCACTGGTGCGTTTCCATAATTAACAAATAAAAACAGTGTTCTTTTTAAAATGAATATTGAATTACAGTTGTATCATCTTCACGTGACAAGTGTCGCCCTTACTGAAATGTTTAAAGAAAGGAGAGCACGTGTCGAGATCAGAAACAGAAACTCCATTGGGCTATCTACTGTGTCTACCGCTGGGAATCGAACCCCGGATTTTAGTGTTGTAACTTCATAGACTAACCGTGGGTATCCGTAGAAATTATTCCAGTAGGACGAAGTTTTCCGGGGGGGGGGGCAAAGTGTGAAATTGTTAAGTGAATAAAAAATGTGTATACCTATACTGACTGAACAAAGAAAGAATTATGTTCGTCATTTTCCGGGGGTCAAGTCCCCCTATACTGACTGAACAAAGAAAGAATTATGTTCATCATTTTCCGGGGGTCATGTCCCCCTATACTGACTGAACAAAGAAAGAATTATGTTCATCATTTTCCGGGGGTCATGCCCCCTATACTGACTGAACAAAGAAAGAATTATGTTCGTCATTTTCCGGGGGTCAATGCTAAATTAGGGACGACTAGCCCAGATAGCCCTCGTGTAGCTTTGCGCGAAATTCAAAACAAACCAAACAAACTTAACGGTTCAGCCATTAGCGTAAAACTTCATCATGCGAAGATGGCGCTATCAGCTCGAAACGTTGTCCGAAACCGCCTAAACTGATGTGGTCCATTAACAACTCCTTTCTAACCCTTATCTCAAGTAGATTCAACCGTTGACAAAGTCCACGATTTCTCCTATAAACAAGTATGTTTTATGAGAGTGTTATTTAACAGCAGAACAGTTGATAGACCCTTAATTTAGTGACTGTTTTCATTTTGTTAAGTTTAGAGATTGTGTGAAGTCTACCTACATTTAAAAGATTTTTCTGTTAGAGATGTAAGTTTAGAGATTGTGTGAAGTCTGCCTACGTATAAAAGATTTTCTGTTACAGATGTAAGTTTGGACTGTGTGAAGTCTACTTACAAATAAAAGATGTTCTGTTACAGATGTCAATTTGGAGTGTGTGAAGTCTGCCTACATATAAAAGATTTTATTTTACAGATGTAAGTTTGGAGATTGTGTGAAGAATAAAAGATTTTCTGTTACAGATGTAAGTTTGGAGATTGTGTGAAGTCTGCCTACATTTTAAATATCTTCTGTTACAGATGTAAGTTTGGAGATTATGTGAAGCTCTACCTACATTTTAAATATCTTCTGTTACAGATGTAAGTTTGGAGATTATGTGAAGCTCTACCTACATTTAAAAGAGCCCCTAATAAACCAGAACACCACCCACAACACCTTCCTCTGCGGGAAGCTGTCAGACATCCAACAGACTCACTACTCCTCTGGAAACGCCTTGGTTTTCGAATTCCACACAGACTGGCGCCAAGGAAACAACACGGGTTTTCGAGGCACGTTTCGATTTATCAGTAAATGTAAGTGATTTCCTAAGTGGACTAGCAAACTATGGGTAGCGGGATCAAAACCCAGTGCTGAACATTCTTGCTCTTTCACGTGTGTAGGCTTTATAATTTGGCGGTTAATCCTTCTGTTCACTAGTAAAGAGCAACGAAAGAGTTGGCGGCGGGTGATGCTGGCTGATTGCCTTCTCTGTGGTCGATAATTAAAAATTAGGGATATCCACGGGTATAAATTACTGTAATATACTAGATCCGATAATGTATTTTAATATACTGTAAATTAATATATACTAACAGAAGTACACATGCGATACCTGGTGAGCGGTTTCTGAAAGTTGATTGTTTTTCCAAAATCTGCCAGTAGCAGTATAAAGATTGGAAGTACATAAGAATAAAATTATTAATGTCCACTGGACTTGATTATTTAAATATTTTGTTTTCTATTTTAGTTTTCGTTATTACAAAGCAGTAGCTAACATTGATTTAAAAACCCCTACTTGAGTGTCCATCTTGTCTATTTTAGTTTTCGTTATTACAAAGCAATAGCTAACATTGATTTAAAAACACTTTACTTAAGTGTCCATCTTGTCTATTTTAGTTTTCGTTATTACAAAGCAATAGCTAACATTGATTTAAAAACACTTTTCTTAAGTGTCCATCTTGTCTATTTTAGTTTTCGTTATTACAAAGCAATAGCTAACATTGATTTA